CTTTGGCCCTCTGTGTGTTTTGGACTTCAACTCCCATAATTCCTAACAGCCTACCGGCTGTTAGGAATTATGGGAGTTGAAGTCCAAAACACACAGAGGGCTGAAGTTTCCTCATGACTGCTCTACAAACTTAAGTGTCAAAGTATTTTGATGAGTCCCAGAGAAGCTGGAGACCGTGTGTGAGTGATATTTAGAATTGGAAGGGTTACAACAGTCATCTAGTCCAATCCCATTCTCTGAAGCTCTGAAGCTCTGAAGATCACCTGGGAAGGAATCCCACTGGAGCATTGCAGCGCACCCAAATACCTGGGAGTCACTCTGGACCGTGCTCTGACCTACAAGAAGCACTGCCTGAACATCAAGCACAAAGTGGGTGCTAGAAACAATATCATACGAAAGCTGACTGGCACAACCTGGGGATCACAACCAGACACAGTGAAGACATCTGCCCTTGCGCTATGCTACTCTGCTGCTGAGTATGCATGCCCAGTGTGGAACACATCTCACCACGCTAAAACAGTGGATGTGGCTCTTAATGAGACATGCTGCATTATCACGGAGTGTCTGCACCCTACACCACTGGAGAAATTACACTGCTTGGCCGGTATTGCACCACCTGACATCCGCCGGGAAGTAGCAGCCAATAGTGAAAGGACCAAGGCAGAGACATCTCCAGCTCATCCCCTGTTTGGGTATCAGCCAGCACGTCAACGACTTAAATCTAGAAATAGTTTTCTAAGATCTACAGAGACACTCGCTGGAACACCTCAGCAAGCGAGAGTCCAAAAGTGGCAGGCTCAAACCCAGCACTTCAACCAATGGCTGATACCAAATGAGAGACTCCCTCCTGGGCACACAGAAGACTGGGCGACTTGGAAGGCATTGAACAGACTGCGCTCTGGCACCACGAGATGCAGAGCCAACCTTCAGAAATGGGGCCACAAAGTGGAATCCACGACATGCGAGTGTGGAGAAGAGCAAACCACTGACCACCTGCTGCAATGCACCCTGAGCCCTGCTACATGCACAATGGAGGACCTTCTTGCAGCAACACCAGAGGCACTCCAAGTGGCCAGATACTGGTCAAAGGACATTTAACTAGCTACCAAACTCACAAGTTGTGTATTTTTCTGTTTGTTTGCTTTGTTCTGTTAGAAATGTAATATAATGGACTGGCTGCTCTGACACGACAAATAAATAAAATCCCATTCTGCCATGTAGGAATACTGCCATGCAGGAAAGGGTGCTTTGAATGTGATTTTCCTGCTTCTTGGCAGAAAGGAAAATCCAAACCCTTTCCCCACATGTTTCATTTTCCATGCCAAAGAGCCTGTCGTCCATGGACACCTTTCCTGATTGGATTTTTGCCGGCATTTTTTTCAGGACGCATTTAACCTTCCTGCCAAAGTGATACACATTTATTTACTTACATTGTTGTTTTTGAACTGCTAAGTGAGCAGAAGCTGAACTGATGGCGGGAGCTCACCCCCACCTGAACTTGAACTGCCAACCTTCCAGTCGGCAGGTTCTTCTATAGCTGGTGATTTAACTGCTGTGCTAGCCCGGACCCATTATTATTATTATTATTATTATTATTATTATTATTATTATTATTATTATTAGAAACGCAACAAGGTGAATCCAAAGCAAACAAGATAACTCTGCTGGCTGTTGTATTGAATCACACATCGGTCACTTCCCAAGTGTCTAAGGCTGTGTGATATATCGGCGAATAATGCGTGCAGATCCCAGTAAGGTAGCCTTTTGCAGCTCACAGATGGTAATTTTGTCAGCGCCAATTGTGTTTAAGTGCAGGCCAAAGTCTTTAGGCACTGCACCCAGTGTGCCAATCACCACTGGGACCACCTTGACTGGCTTGTGCCAGATTATTATTATTATTAATTTTATTTCTTACCTGCCTTTCTCCATGGCTCAAGGTGGGTCACAGCACAGTAAAAAACACACACAAATACTATAAAATTGTACAAACGCACATATTAAAATGCAGTTCCATAACAAATCCATATCAAAGCATTTCTATAAAATACACATTAATCACACATGAGAGAGGTGAAAGATTCTTAAACTTTTCCCATTGGGAACATGGAGGGGTTTTTTTCCATGTCAGGAGTGACTTGGGGAACTGCAAGTTGCTTCTGGTGGGAGAGAATTGGCCGTCTGCAAGGATGTTGCCCAGGAGACGCCCGGATGTTTTTTGATGGTAAGGGGACCCCATTTGAGGTCTGGATCCACAGTTTAAGCAGCAGTGTATTATACCTTTAAGTGCCATCAAAACTCCAAATAATTGTGCATAATTGATTCTGAAAAATATTGATAACCAAATATTGGGAAAGCTGATTGATTGCCTACTGTGAAACTGGGGGGGGGGGGCAGTTGTTATACATAGAAGTGTGTGTGAGTGTCTATACACACACACACGCACACACACACACATACTATAATAGATACATCATACACACATGGAGCCCCTGGTGGCACAGCGGGTTAAACCACTGAGTTCTGAACTTGATGACTGAAAGGTCGGTGGTTCAAATCCGTGGAGTGGGATGACCTCATGCAAATGTGAGTAGATCAATAGGTACTGCTTCTGTGGGAAGGCAATGGCGCTCCATGCAGTCATACCGGCCACATGATCTTGGAGGCATATATGGACAATGCCGGCTCTTTAGTTTAGAAATGGAGATGAGCACCACTCCCCAGAGTCAGGCACCACTAAATTTCATGTCAAGGGAAAAACCTAAACCTTTACCATAATAATATTATATATATATATAAAATCAATTATGTGTATTGAATATAATATACTATATATATATACACTATCCATTAAGATATAATTAATATATGTGAATTATATCTGCGAAGGAGCTCGGGCCCCAAATTCGGTAAGGGAGGTCTCAGGAGAGAGAAGTTACGATTTATTATTTATTATCCTTAATGGTGCCACCAATTTGGTGATGTGAGGTAATTTTGGGAGATTGGGCACACTAAACGCAGAATTAATGGAGATGAGGCAGTTTTACAATCAAAGAGAACAAGTTTATTTTGAAACAAAGCGTATGGTTGCAGTTTGGTGATAAACTTGGAAAATACTTGGAGAACGTTACATATAACTTGGTTGCGATACAGTTCAGTCTTCTGATGTTACAACTTATAAATAACCTTTGCTGTGGTGAAGCACTTTATTAAACAATGGTTCCTGAGGTGAATAGTCTTCCTGTTTGACCCTTCCGTGATCAAACCTCAGATCTCTAGTTCACTTTTAACTAGTGATCTAAACGAGCTTCTATTAGTCTTCTCTAACTAATAAAACTAATAAGGTTTCCCTTCAGCCTTCCCGAACTGAAGAAACCTCCGACTATTCACAAACACTGCTTCTCTACTTCCCACTCTCTCTCTCTCAACTCTTCACTTCCCTGAGCCTAAACCTAACTCTTCATTCCTCTGAGCCTCAACCCTGACTCTTCATGACTCTTCACTCCTCTGAGCATAAAACCTAACTCTTCATGACTCTTCACTCCTCTGAGCATAAAACCTAACTAACTTTTTAACTGTCGCTTTTCAAAACTCCCCTCTCCTAAGCTCCTCCCACTTCTCTACAGCATTGTTTCCATGGTAACACACTCCTCACAGCTAGGCCGCTCCAGCATTAGCATCGTTTCCATGGTAACACACTCCTCACAGCTAGGCCGCTCCAGCATTAGGGCAACCAGTGTAAACACAAATACAGTTATAATAATATCATTTACAATCAATACAGTTTATAATCATATCATTTACAATCAACTTCTGTACAATATCCATATATCTTAATAATATATATACTAGCATTACATATATATGTGTGTATATATATGTGTGTGTATGTATATATATGCATATGATATATATTATAGTGTATGTATATATACGCACATATACATCTATGTATATGTGTATATTGTTTATTTAATATAATATATACACATATATACATAGGTGTATCTATAGGTATATGTGTGTATGTATATATGTGTGAATGTATATATATTATTGTTTATATAATATTATAATATATCCACATAAATAGATGTATATATGCATTATAAATGTATATATACATACTATAATATATATAATATACATGTATATATATAAATGTATATATGCGTGTATGTGTGTATATATAGATATATACATACTATTATATACACATATATACGCAGTGTATATATATTTGCATATATATACTATATATATATCCTATCCATACATGTATAATGCTATAATGTAATACATACATATATATAATGCTATTATATATATCCATATCTATTATATATAGATATATATAATGCTATATATATCCATATCTAATATATATATATATATATATATATAAAAGAAATATATTTAAATATAATATATATATATTAGAAATATATTTAAATATATATATATATAGAGAGAGAGAACATATATCTATATATATATCTATATATATCTATATCTATCTATCTATATATCTATATATATAATAGCATTATATATATATATATATATATATATATGAATGAAATATTATATATATATATATATATAGAGAGAGAGAGAGAGAGAGAGTAGAGAACATACTATAATAATAAATTACAATGCCAGGAAATATGTTTATACATTGTTTTCCCTTATGATGGGTCCTAAAAGCAGGAAAACAGGGAAAAGCCTCCTGGACTTCCACTCCCAGAAGCCTCAGCCGCTGACTCCAATGGCAAAGCATGCTGGGAGTGGAAGTCCAGAACTTCCAAGCGAGGAGCAAACGAACGAACGAGCGCGTTGGTGCTTTCCTAGAGCAGAGCGGCAACTGGAGTTGGCGGAAACGGAAGTTGGGGGATAAAACCCCTTCCTGTTCCTGCCTTAAGGGGGCTACTTTCCTGCGGAGCAGAGGAGCAGGAAGGAAGTGAAGGAGGAGGCCTGCATCCTTCTCCTCCTCCTTTGTGAAGGCTGCTTGGAGGCAGAAGAGGCCTGGGTATCCTCGGCCAAGGGATTGGGGCGGCCTTTCCCCCCATATGGTGCCTTTGGGCCCTCCTCAGAAGGACTGACAGGGAAGGTGGGTGAGGGAAGGCCTGGGAGGGGAATGAGAAGGGGGAAAGAGGAAAGGCCAGGCTTGGGGGGAGCATGGGCCTCTCCCCTTGAATGGAGACCTCCTTAAGAGTCTCTTCTTCCACTTGGAGAGAAGGGACCACCACTTGAGCCTGGCCTGGGCCTTTCAGGGCCATTCAGCACCTTGATCAAGGTCTTGGATGAAGGTTTAGAGCAGGCATGGGCCAACTTGGGCCTTCCTCCAGGTGTTTTGAACTTCAACTCTCAAAATTCCTAACAGCCTACTGGCTATAATAATAATACTTTAGTTATAACCCATCCTATCTCCCTGAGGGGCCTATAAGGAATTTATTATTAGGTTCTTGTGGGTTTTTTCAGGCTATATGGCCATGTTCTAGAGGCATTTCTCCTGACGTTTCACCTGCATCTATGGCAAGCATCCTCAGAGGTAGTGAGGTCTGTTGGAATTAGGACAATGGGTATATATATCTGTGGAATGGCTGGGGTGGGGCAAGGAGCTTCCCTGCTGCAGCTAGGTGTGAATGTTTCAACTGACCACCTTTATTAGCATTTGAAGGCCTGCCTGAGCCTGGGAAAATCTCTTGCTGGGAGGTGTTAATCTGTGCCTGGTTGTTTCCTCTCTGTTGTTTTGCTGTTGTAATTTTAGAGTTTTTTAATACTGGTAGCCAGATTTTGTTCATTTTCATGGTCTCTTCCTTTCTGTTGAAATTGTCCACATGCTTCTGGATTTCAATGGCTTCTCTTTGTAGTCTGACATGGTGGTTGTTGGAGTGGTCCAGCATTTCTGTGTTCTCGAATAATATGCTGTGTCCAGGCTGGTTCATCAGGTGCTCTGCTATGGCTGACTTCTCTGGTTGAAGGAGTCTGCAGTGCCTTTCATGTTCCTTGATGTGTGTTGGGCAATGCTGCTGCGTTTGGTGGTCCCTCTGGAGACTTCTTGTCCACAGCTGCATGGTATACGGTAGACTCCTGCAGAGGTGAGAGGATCCCTCTTGTCCTTTGCTGAACGGAGCATTTGTTGGATTTTCTTGGTGGGTTTGTAGATTCCCGAGCTCAGCCAGGTCTTCAAATGCTAATGAAGGTGATCAGTTGAAACATTCACACCTAGCTGCAGCAGGGAAGAGCTCCTTGCCCCACCCCAGCCATTCCACAGATATATAAACCCATTGTCCTAATTCTAACAGACCTCACTACCTCTGAGGATGCTTGCCATAGATGCAGGCAAACGTCAGGAGAAATGCCTCTAGAACATGGCTCTATAGCCCGAAAAAACCCACAAGAACCTAGTGATTCCAGCCATGAAAGCCTTCGACAATACATTGAATTTATTATTTACTAGCTGTGCCCTGCCACGCGTTGCTGTAGCCTGTAGTAAGAATTTTTGAAGTAGAGGCAGATATTATGAAAGAGCGGTACCTACCTATTCCTCCCCCCTCCCTTTTCTTCCCCTTCCCCTTCCTCTCCTTTCTTCCTTCTCTACCTCTTTTTTCATTCCTTCTTTTGCTCTGGTTTCATCTTTCCTTCTCTCTTTTCTTCCTTCCCTTCCCCTTTCTCTACTTCTTCCTTTGCCTCCTTTCTTCCCTTCCTATTTCCTTCCTTCTTTCACTATTTATTTCCTTTTCTCCTTCCTTCCTTCTTTACTTCTTTCCTGCCTTTCCTCCCCCCCTTTTCCTTTCCTTTCTACTTTCTTCTTCCTTTCTCTCCTTCCTTCCCTCCTTCCTTCTTTCCCTCCCTCCTCTCTTTCCTTCCTTCCCCCTTTCCCTCCTTCATTCCTTCCATTTTTCCCTCCCTCCTGTCTTCTCTCCTCCCTTCCTGTCTGTTCTCCCGCAATCCTATGGTAGAGTCCCTTCTAACTTATTCTATGAGTCTATTTAATATAGTAATATTTTGAATTTAAAGGTATTTTTGTGGGGTTTTTTTTCAGTGATGGTCACTCCTTGGATTTTGAGGAGTTTTGTTGCCAAATTTGGGGTCATTTGGCCCAGTAGTTTTTTTGTTTTTAAGGTACTCATTGTGCAGAGAGCATTTTTATATATATAGATTTATTTACTTTATTTATATACCGCTTTTCTCAGCCCTTAGGCAACTCAAAGTGGTTAACAACATCAATACAAAACATCATGAGACAAGTATATAGCAGTTAAAAACAACTTCAACATAAAAGAATTAAACATCAGTATAACAATCATTAGCGCCTCAACAGTAACATCAGAATCCACTCTCGTCATCCATTATTCCGTATTCCTATGTTCAATTACACTGTTTAATCAAATGCTTGTTCGAACAGCCAGGTCTTCACTTTCCTCCGAAACGCCAGCAGGGAGGGGGCCGATCTGATATCTGTAGGCAGGGCGTTCCACAGCTGAGGGGTCACCAGTAAGAAGGCCCTGTCTCTCGTTCCCGCCAGGTGTGCCTGTGATGCAGGCGGGACAGAGAGCAGGGCCTCCCCAGATGATCTTAATGTCCTAGTCAGTTCATAGGAGGACATGCGATCTGAGAGGTAAGTAGGGCCAGAACCGTTTAGTGGGAGTTGAAGTTCAAAACATCCAGAGGGCTGAAGATTGCCCATGCCTCGTACTAAAATGTACCTTCAGTTACTCAGTTCATTCCTTTGTGTGCTTTGACAGGAACTGCCAGGAAAAAAGAGGACTCCCTTCAGACTTCGAGGAATAAGAGATCCACGATGGACAGGCGTGAATCAGCTGGATTAAGTGCCAGGAAAAAGCTCCATGCCGCACATGCCGGGAGGAGTGGGAGGTTCTGGGGGAAGGCGGTGCAGAGGACTCAAGAGGAAGATGCCGCCAGCACCGGGGTCCATGGCTTACATTTCAGACAGTTCCGCTACCAAGTGGCCGATGGGCCCCGGGAGGTTTGCAGCCAACTCCACGCTCTCTGCCATCGGTGGCTGAAGCCAGAGCGACACTCCAAGGTGGAGATGCTGGACCTGGTGATCCTGGAGCAGTTCCTGGCCGTCCTTCCTCCGGAGATGGAGAATTGGGTGAGAGAATGCGGAGCACAGACTAGCTCCCAGGCAGTGGCTTTGGCGGAAGGATTCCTCCTGAGCGAGGAAGAAGAGAGGAAGGAGAAAAGGCAGCAGGTGAGAGCAGCTCCTCTTGGCTATTTCAAAGAATTCTGTGCTCTGAAACAGTTTTGTTGGGCAACTAGACTTAACAACAAAAGACCATAAATGCACAGCAGAGTAAGTTAGCAGTAGCGTGACCCAGCACCAGTAGCTTAAAGTGATAAAAAGAACAAAAACACACAGACCAATGTTATCTCTTCCTTAAGTGGCTTTTCTTTGTAGTAAAATAACATGCACTATTCTTAAAAAGTTTCCATAGTTCTTTATACTTCCTTCTTTGCTTCCCCGTTGGGCTTCTTTCTCATGTAGATAAACAGTTTCACTCTCACAGAACCTCTTCCACAGTAGCTTTATACACAGTAGCCTTCACACACTGAAGCTTCACACATGACGGCCTTCAACCTGGGGCTTCTCTCACCAAAGCTTCTCACATCAGACCTACTAAATTGAGGCCTACCTCACACTGATGCCTTTCTCCCACTGAGGTCTGCTAACACTGAGGGCTCTCTCAGACTGATGCCTCTCACATAGTGAAGCGAACTAACACTGAAGTCTTCTCATACTGAGATGAACTAACACTGAGGCCTTCTCATACTGAGGCATACTAACACACTGAGGCCCTTCTTCCACAGAGACCTCTCACAGACAGGGCTGCCTCAGACTAAAGGCTACTAAGCTATAGGCATACCTGCTTATATAGAACTACAGCTTTCAAACTGAAGCCTTTGTTTATTTATTTATTTATTTATTTGTGACATTTATATGCCGCCCTTTTCACCCCACAGGCGACTCAGAGCAGCTTACAAGTTTTATATATATATATACACACACATACATACACACACACACACACACACACATACAATACATTATATCATGAGCACAGTACAATATCAGCGCTATGCATCACTATATTGTACTATACAATTATATTGTAATATTATTAGTAATGTTATATGTAATATAAAATATATAATTATAATGTCATATTATTATTAATAATAATATATTGTATGATGATGCAGTTTTGAAATGTTAATTATCTTTTTTTAAAAAAAATGAAACAATTGAGGGAAAGCAGAAAACATTTATAGCTTTACTCTTTCTTTGGCTGCCACCAAAAGTGTACTACCAGGGATTTCATCAAAGGAGAACGAAGCGGGATGAGAAGACCGCCTCTAAAATACACCCTGAAAGAGAGATCAGTAGTACAAAGGATCTAGACCAGGCATAGGCCAATCCTGGACCTCCCTCCAGTTGTTTTGGACCTCAACTCCCAATGTGGACGTCAACTCCCAATTGAAGTCCAAAACAACTGGAGGGAGGGCCAAAGCTGGCCTACGCCTGATCTAGATCTAGATACAGCCAAACACTCACATCAACCTTTTAGGATCGATTTTTTTCTAAATTTTTCTCCCACTGAAATGAATTAACACTGAGGCCTTCTCATATTGAGGCCTGCTGACACACTCAAGCCCTTCTCCTATAGAGGCCTCTCAGAGACTGAGGGCTACTAAGCTACAGGCACACCTGCTTATATTGAATTGCAGCTTTTGCTGAGTCATTGTATCCATTTAACCTTTTCAGTGCTTGACTCATATTCTTATAATTAAAAATATCTAGTTATTTTTTTATATTTCTGACAAGATTCTAATTTTCTCTGGGCAGAGTCAGTGATGGACAGGTCTTGTTGGGTAAATGTATTTCCTTAGTCCCTTCCCTGCTCTGATTCTGCTTGCTCTTTGTCATGCAGGCCTGCCTTGCAGAAAAGGGCGCTGAATCCTCTAAGACCCAGACATCTCTATCCGACTCCAGGCAGAGGCTCCAGCCCTTGCAGATTAAAGAAGAGAGCGACGAAGGACTCGCCTCACTGAGTAAGGCTTCGTAGGACCCATTCACATTGGTCTCCTCTCCTCATATCACCCCATAACAACTCTTGTTATTTACCTTCAAGACGACTCATATTACATCAAGAGTTTATTTTAAACTAGCCGTCCCCTGCCAGGCGTTGCTGTGGCTCAGTCTGGTGATCTGGAAAATAAAGTAATGACAAAGTATTGGTTTCTAATATATGTAATTTCTTTATGCTTGTGGGTAAACAGCACTTCTTGCTGTTTCTTTGTCAGTGTTGATGTGGAGATTGTCTGGTTTGCCTACTCTGGAACATGCAACATATCATTGTCCTTCTTTAGGGGTCCCTTTCCAATCTATGATACTATATCTGTGTGTGTGTGAGAGAGAATAATATCTATCTATCTATATTTATGACTGGATGGCTCTTTGTCAGGAGGGCTTTGATTACGTTTTCTTGCCCTGGTGAAGGGAGTTGGACTGGGTGACCTTAAGTATTTTCTGCTGGTCATCAAGGTTCTGTGTGGGAAGTTTGCCCCAATTCTGTTGTTGGTGGGGTTCAGAATGCTCTTTGATTGTAGGTGAACTATAAATCCCAGTAACTATAACTCCCAAATGTCAGGGTCTATTTCCCCCAAACTCCATCTGTATGCATATTTCAGCGTATGGAATATTCGTGCCAAGTTTGGTCCAGATCCATCATTGTTTTGAGTCCACAGTGCTCTCTGGATATAGGTGAACTACAACTCCCAAACTCAAGTTCAATGCCAACCAAACCCTTCTGGTGTTTTCTGTTGGTCATGGGAGTCCTTTGTGCTAAGTTTGGCCCAATTTCATCATTAGTGGAGTTCAGAATGCTCTTTGGTTGTAGGTGAACTATAAATCCCAGCAACTACAACTCCCAAATGACAAAATCAATTTTTTGAGTGAAGGACATACATTGGGTTGTTAGGTGTCTTGTGTCCAAATTTGATGTAAATTCGTCCAGTGGTTTTAGAGTTCTGTTAATCCCACTAATGAACATTACATTTTTATTTATATAGATAGAAGATGTATTCGGGAAAGGTTTCCTGATGTCCTCAAGTCACATTCTCTGACTTTGAGAGAATGCGGCTTGCCCAGTGTGGCCCAGTAGGTTTCTGTGATTAAGTAGGAATTCAAACTCTGCTCTTCCAGAATCCTAATCAGATGTGCAACCTTTGGGTGAAAATTGGGGTCTGAATCTCACAGAGCTGGCCTGAAAGGATATGCAGGCATTTTTCAATATATTAGTTTAGTGGAATGTGACTTCACCATTGCACGAATAAAATGAAATACTTTTTAATGTGTGGGTTTTATTAAAAAATGTGACACTCCTGTTTCTCTTCTCCCCACCCACAAAATGTTGTGTCATCTACTGTTGTGTCATCTACTGGGGAGCCCCCGGTGGCGCAGTGGGTTAAACCCCTATACAGAACACTCCTCTATGCATTTAAAGGTCTCCCAGCAAGATTCTGTGATTAGTTTTAGGCAAAGGTTCATAGAATCATAGATTTGGAAAAGGCCACAAGGACAGATTAGTCCAAACCCATTCTGTCATGTAAGAAAACAATCAAAGCACCCCCAACAGATGGCCATCTAGCCTCTGTGTTGTTGAAAGCTTTTGTGGCCAGAATAACCGGGTTGCTGTGATTTTTTCTGAGGTGTCTGGCCATGTTCCAGAATCATTCTCTCCTGACGTTTCTCCCACATCTGTTGGCATCCTCAGAGGTTGTGAGGTCTATTGGAAACTAGGCAGGTAGGGTTTATATATGTGTGAAATGTCCAAGCTGGGAGAAAGAACTTTTGTCTGTTTGAGGAAGATGTGAATGTTGCAATTGGCCACCTTGATTGGCATTGAATGGCCTTGCAGCTTCAAAGCCTTGCTGCTTCCTGTTGAGGGAATCCTTTGGATGTGTTAGCTGGCCTTGATTGATTCTTGTCTGGAATTCCCATGCTTTTTTACTGTTCCTCTTTATTTACTGTCCTGATTTTAGAGTTTTTTTAATACTGTTCAGATTTTGTTTATTTTCATTTTTTATTGAAAATGTCCACATGATTGTGGATTTCGATGGCTTCTCTGTGTAGTCTGACATGGTGGTTGTCAGAGTGGTCCAGCATTTCTGTGTTCTCAAATATGCTGTGTCCATGTTGGTTCATCAAATGCTCTGCTATGCCTGACTTTTCTAGTTGGATGAGTCTGCAGTGCCTTTCATGTTCCTTAATTCATGTTTGGGCAATGCTGCTACGTTTGGTGGTCCCAATGTAGAGTTGTCCACAGCTGCATGAGATACAGTAGACTCCTGCAGAAGAGTCCTTTGCTGAACGTAGCATTTGTTGGATTTTCTTAGTGGGTCTCTAAATAGTTTGTTGGTTGTGCTTCTTCATCAGCTTCTCTCTGCGGTCAGTGGTTCTCTTGATGTATGGCAATAACATTTTTCCTCTGGGTGAATCTTTGTCTTTCCTCTCATGGCTTGTTCTCGGTCTTGCAGCTCTTCTGATGTATGTGATGGAGTCTCCATTGGCCTGTAGAGCCCAGATTAGGTGGTTTGGTTCACCTTGGAGGAGGTGGGCTTCGTAGATTCTTTTTGCTCGGTCTGCCAGGGCTTTGATTGTGCTTCTTTTTTTGACTTGGGTGATGGTTGGAGTGTTTATGTAGGTATATATCCATGCATATAGATTTTCTGTAAACTGTGTGGCCAAATTGTTCATTGGGTTTGTGGATGATTAGAACAACAGACCCCTAAACCTCTGAGGATGCCTGCCATAGATGTGGGCGAAACGTCAGGAGAGAATGCTTCTGGAGCATGGCCAGACAGCCCAGAAATCTCACAGCAACCCAGTGATTCTGGCCGTGAAAGCCCTCAACAAGACTCAGTTGAATTATAGAATTATTTTGGGGGAACCTAGACATTCCTAAAGAGATGTTTTCTCTGGTGGTTTCTTATTTTGATTTTACCCAGTTTCGTGGGATGTCCTGTGCACCTAATACTAATGAATGTGAATGGTCGACTGTATGTTTCCCTTCTCCCTTGCAGGAGGCAGATCGAGAATGCCAGCAGCACCTACCCGCTTGCCTCTTCTCCATTGCGATGCAAAGGAAACCACTTCTGGGCAACTGGATCAGGTAGGGGCAGGATCATCGGGCAGCTAGGTAGGAGATTGCCTGGATTCCAGTGTTGACCACAAGCCTCAACAGTCTCTTTTGCGTCTCTCAGTTTCTCCACCTGAAACAGTTGCTTTCAGAATCCAGAATTCTCCACTCCTAAAAAGGTGTTCTGCTTTCCAGGTGACCTTTGAGGAGGTGGCTGTGGATTTCACTGACGGAGAGTGGGCCCTGCTGAATCCGAGGCAAAGGGCTCTGCATGCAGAGATCATGGAGGAGAACTTGGAGCTGGTGGCCTCTCTTGGTAAGGCAGATTCTTGTGCGTGGGGCAAACTTTGGCTCTCCCTCCAGGCGTTTTGGACTTCAACTCCCACAATTCCTAACAGCCTCAGGCCCCTTCCTTTTCCCCCTCAGCTGCTTAAGGAGGAAGGCGCCCCTCTCCGCATAGCAAGCCAGCTGTTTTCTTTCTTTCCTTCTTTTTTCCTTTCTTTTCTTTTCTTCTCTTCCATGCCTTCTTTCCCATCTTTCCTTTTCCCTTAACTTCCCTCCCACCTTCTTTCCTCCCTTCTTCTCTTTTCTCGCTCCTTCCCTCCTTTTCTTTTCCTTCCTTCCTTCGCCCATTCTTTCCTTCTTTTTCCCCTTCTACCTCCAACACACTGTACAGCACTCTCTGGAATCAATGGGGAGATGCCAATTCTGAGGATCTGCCGCCTTTACAAAGGAGAAGGGTGGTGACAATATACCCCTTTCTCTCCCATTTCTGTGCGCGAGAGAGGGGAAGAGAAAGGCAGGCACATTCTAGGGGGAAAGAGGAAAGAAGGCACGCTAGAGAGGAGCTGAGAAAGGCAAGCGCACAAAGGAGGTAAAAGGAAAGACACACATTCACTTGCCTTCCTCTTCCCCTCTCTAGCTCGCCATCTTTCCACTTCCCCACTTGCATGCACTTCCCTTTCTCTTCCTCTTTCTAGCAAGGGGAAGAAAAAGGCAAGCGCACACAAGGAGGGAAGAGGAAAAACACATGTGCTTGTCTTCCTCTTCCCCCATCTTGCTCGCCTTCTTTCCTCTTCCCCCCTCGTTTGCACTTGTCTTTCTCTTCCTCTTTCTAGTGAGGGGAAGAGAAAGGCAAGCTCATATGAGGAGGAAGAGGAAACACACGTGTGTGCTTGCCATTCTCTTCCCCTGGCTAGTGAGAGGGGAAGAGAAAGGCAGGCACACGCGAGGGGAGAAGAGGAAAGAAGGCACAGCAGAGAGGGGAAGAAATAGGGAAGTGCGTGCAAGGAGGGAAGAAAAAGGCAAGCATGCATGAGGAGGGAAGAGGAAAGAATGCATGCCAGAGAGGGGAAGAGAAGGGCAAGCACGTGTGAGAAAGGGAGAGGGAAGAAGGCATGCCAGAGAGGGGAAGAGAAAGGCAAGCATGTGCAAGGATGGAAGAGAAAGGCAAGCAAACGCAAGGAGGAAATAAGGCACGCCAGAGAGGGGAAGAGAAAGGCAAGCACGCACAAGGAGGGAAGAGGAAAGAAGGTACACCAAACGGGAAGAGAAAGGCAAGCGTGCACAAGGAAGGAAGAGGAAAGAAGGCACACAAGAGAGGGGAAGAGAAAGGCAAGCGCGCACAAGGAAGGAAGAGGGAAGAGGCATGCCAGAGAGGGGAAGAGAAAGGCAAGCACGCGCACGAGAGGAGGGAAGAGGAAAGACCCTCACCCAAGTATAAGTAGAGTGGAGTTTTTTCAGCCGTAAAAGAGGACTGAAAAACTCGGCTTATACTTGAGTAAATACGGTATTTTAAAAACTACCCTTAAAATAACTTCATGTTTCCTGAGAGAGTGGGGTTCATCTTCACACACAAAAAAGTGTGGAAGGGCTCCAAAACAGCTTACGGGGCCTCATCTGGTCCACCGCTTATTCCATATGTCAGATATTGAGTTTCCCTTTTCTCCTTGGGCCCTTGCCAATTGTCTGTTTTCTTTCCTAGGAGGTGAATGGCAAGTGATTGAGAACGAGGCTGAACCAGGCAGGATGTTGTGGGAACGGTTCTGGGCCGAAGGGTGGACGGGAAAGCCGGAAGTGAAAGAGCAGTGGGCCGACGAGCCCCCGGTCCCTTTCCTCGGAGACATGTGGGAAATCCCGTCCCAGGACAAAATGGACCAGTGGACGGATTGGAGGCAGTGCCTTCTGTGCGGGGAAACCTTCACGTGTAAATCCAGCCTGATGGCTCACTGGGAGAGGCACACCGGCGAGAGGCCCTATAAATGCTTAGAGTGCGGGAAGAGTTTCAGCTCGAGCAAGTACCTCAGCTCCCATCAAAGAATCCACACGGGGGAGAAGCCCTACAAATGCCTGGAGTGCGGCGAGAGCTTCTGTTGGCCAAACTCCCTCACTTTGCACCAGATGAATCATACGGGGAAGAAGCCCTACAAATGCTTGGAGTGCGGGAAAAGCTTTAGCCGGCGTGGCAGCCTCAACTGCCACCGGAGGATCCACACGGGGGAGAAGCCGTACATGTGCCTGGAGTGCGGGAAGACCTTCATCCACAGCACCAGCCTCACGTACCACCAGCGCCATCACGCGGGGCTGAAACCCTACAAGTGCTTGCAGTGCGGGAGGCGGTTCAGCCACCGGACGAGCCTCAGTTACCACCTCCAGCACCACACGGGCGAGAAACCCTACAAATGCCTGGAGTGCGGGAAGAGCTTCAGCACCAGGCAGTATCTTACCTGCCACCAGAGAATCCACACCGGGGAGAAACCCTACAAATGCTTGCAGTGCGGGAAGATGTTTATGCACAACACCAGCCTCAACTACCACCAGCGCCTCCACACCAGGGAGGAGCGGTTCAAGTGCTTGGAGTGCGGGAAGTGCTTCAATTCCAAGCAATGCCTCACCTGCCACAAGAGGATCCACGCCAAGGAGGACCCCTTCAAGTGCTTGGAGTGCGGGAAGAGCTTCAGCCGGCGCACCAGCCTTGCCTCGCACCAGCTGATGCACCTGGGAGAGAAGCCCTACAAATGCCTGGAGTGCGGGAAGGGCTTCACCACCAGCAAGTACATCCTTTCCCATCAGAGGATCCACACGGGAGAGAAACCATTCACCTGCGCCGAGTGCGGGAAGAGCTTCTGCTGGGCGAATTCCCTCGCGCTGCATCAAATCATCCACACCGGGGAGAAACCGTACAAGTGCTTGCAGTGTGGGAAGACCTTCAGCAGGAGCACCAGCCTTAATTCTCACCAGAGGGTCCACACGGGCGAGAAACCCTACAAATGCTTGGAGTGCGGCAAGAATTTCAGCACCAGCCGCTACCTCGCTTGCCATCAGCGGATCCACATAGCCGAAAAGGGCTTCAAGTGCACCGAGTGCGGGAAGAGCTTCAGCACCAGCCGATACCTCACTTGCCACCAGAGAATCCACACGGGAGAGAAGCCGTACCAGTGCTTGGAGTGCGGGAAGAGCTTCTGTTGGGCCAACTCCCTTCATTTGCACCAGAGAAACCACACAGGAGAGAAGCCATTGAAAGCCTAGACGTGTCAAAGGAAAGGACCTTCTTGTCAAAGAATGTACACAGAGGAGAAACCATATTAAGAGTTGCAAAAAGACTAGGTTGCTGTGAGTTTTCCAGGCTGTATGGCCATGTTCCAGAAGCATTCTCTCCTGACGTTTTGCCCACATCTATGGCGGGCATCCTCAGGTTGTGAGGTCTGTTGGAAACTAGGCAAGTGGGGTTTATATATCTGTGAAATTTATTTATTATTTACTTACAGTATTTCTGTTCCACCTTTCTCACCCCGCAGGGGACTCAGGGCGGATTACAATGTACATATACATGGCAAACATTCAATGCCATAGACATTCAACATATATAGACAGACACATAGAGGCTAGGTTGTTGTAGGTTTTTTTTGGCTGTATGGCCATGGTCTAGAGGCATTCTCCTGAGAATGCCTCTAGACCATGGCCATACAGCCCGAAAAAAACCCTACAACAACCCAGTGATTCCGGCCATGAAACTATTCGACAACACAGAGGCTATTTAACATTTCAGCTTTTTTCATGAGGGTATTCTGGCCACCAGGGGAGCTGTTGCTTCACTGTCTATTTGTGACACTGATGAAGTACTTCCTCATTCTTTGCATGCTTGCTGGAGATTTTTATGGCATTGTAAATTAGCCTCCCCGCATAAGCGGCACCTAAATTTCCTACTTGACAGATGCAACTGACTTTCGCTGCAAAGGTCGCCAGCAAGCTACACAAATTGGGCGGAAACTCACTCCAAACCAGGCTGGCTTCGAACTCATGACCTTTTGGTCACTAGTGACTCCCAGCCAGCTGCGCCACAGTCCCCGGTAGCAGAAAGAACTCATTGATGTTGCAATTGATCACCTTGATAAGAACTGAATAGCCTCGCAGCTTCAAAGCCTGGCTGCTTTCTGCATGGGGGAATCCTTTGTTATCAAATGAATTAGAAAAGAAAATTATGTATAATAGACATAATTTCTTTGAAAATGAGAATAAATTTTAACAGGCTCAAGTGAAAGATCATAGGAAGAGGCCATTAATCACCAAGATAAGGTACAGGGTGAGGCAGCATAACTTCCCTTTTTAAAATGCGCACCATTCAGTCGGTTGAAGACATAGCGGAGTGCTAGTGGTCTCGTTCGAGAGGCGGGAGTATAAAGTTTTGTCCTGACACAGTTCAGTCGCCATCATGCGTTGGAACAGCGAGGAGCGTGCTTTTGCCGTTGAGGCCTACTATTTGAGCGGATTTGGAGTGACCGGCCTGCTCTCCAGATTTGGCCCCATGTGATTTTTTTCTTTGGGGTTTTTTGAAATCCCATGTTTATGTGAACCGTCCAAGGACCCTACAAGATTTGAAGACCAACATCCAGGAAGAAATTGCCAACATAACGCCTGCTATGCTGGCAAGAGTCATGACAAATACTAGAAATCGGTTTACTCAATGTATGGAGCATGGGGGACGTCACCTACCTAATTTGATCTTCAAAACTACGTAAAACAAAACTTTAGGCATGCGCCTACATTATTAAAAAAAATTCTGATTCATACAATGGGTTTTATTAAGTTTTGAAAAAAGGAAGTTATACTGCCTCACCCTGTACAAAGGAGAGACAGTTACAAATATAAGAAGGAGTCAAAAAGTGTTTGAAGACTACTATAGAAGAGAAGGCTGGGAGGAGATATGATAGCCATGTATAAATATGTGAGAGGAAGCCACAGGGAGGAGGGAGCAAGCTTGTTTTCTGCTTCCCTGGAGACTAGGACACGAAACAATGGCTTCAAACTACAAGAAAGGAGATTCCATCTGAACATGAGGAAGAACTTCCTGACTGTGAGAGCCGTTCAGCAGTGGAACTCTCTGCCCCGGAGTGTGGTGGAGGCTCCTTCTTTGGAAGCTTTTAAACAGGGGTTGGATGACCATCTGTCAGGGGTGATTTGAATGCAATATTCCTGCTTCTTGGCAGAATGGGGTTGGACTGGATGGCCCATGAGGTCTCTTCCAACTCTTTGATTCTATGATTCTATAGAAACCTTTTTGAAAACATACCGATAGATATTTTTTAAAAAGACCAATACCTACCTGATATGAAGGTCACCAAGCTTACAGAAGGTATGAAATCATACCCAGACAGACTAATCACATGGGAAGAATTGAATACAGCCATATATAAAGCCAAACTGAATAAAGCCCCAGGTCCAGATGGATTCTCTGCTCTATTTCATAAGGTGTATAAAGAAGAATTAGACCCGTTATTGCTTTCTACGATAAATCAAGTACTCCAAAAAGGAGAGATACCAGAGTCCTGGAAGCTACAATAGTTCAGGATAGAGACATGGAGCAAGTGAAGAACTATAGGCCTTGTTTCTTGTCTGAAATTCCCATTTTTTGAGTTTTGTTCTTTATTTACTGTCCTGATTTTGGAGTTTTTTAATACTGGTAGCCAGATTTTGTTCATTTTCATGGCTTCCTCCTTTCTGTTGAAATTATCCACATGCTTGTGGATTTCGGTGGTTTCTCTTTGTAGCCTGAAATGGTTGTTGTGAGAGTGGTCCAGCATTTCTGTATTCTCAGATAATATGCTGTGTCCAAGTTGGTTCACCATGCTATGGCTGACTTCTCAGATTCATCTGCAGTGCCTTTCATATCCCTTGATTCGTGCCTGGGGAAGGCTATGTTTCACCTCCCAACAAAGGATTCCCCCAGACAAGAAACAGTCAAGCCTTTGAAGCTGCAAGGCTATTCAATGCAACTGAATGTGATCAATTGCAAGTCACTCTTGCCTCAAACAGACAAAGAGTTCTTTCTCCCACCCTGGACATTATTCCACAGATATAATAATAATAATAATAATAATAATAATAATAATAATAATAATAATAATAATTGCCCAGAATAAGGAAACTCCTAGCATTATGTCCCAACGCACTTTATCAGAGATCTAGGATATCTGCATGCCTATCCCCCTCCAAACTCCACCTGGTCACACCCAGCACTTTTTAATTTTAATTATTACATTTGGCCCTGCCATTGATTTTAACTGCGTCATTGTGTGTTGTTAATGTTATTGCTTTGTTTTTTGAGTTATTTTGTTGCTGTTATTGTTATTATTTTTACTATTGTATTTGGGCTCGGCCTCATGTAAGCCGCACCATGTCCTTCAGGAGATGGTAGCGGGGTACAAATAAAGGTTTATTATTATTATTATTATTATTATTATTATATAATAATAATAATAATAATAATAATAATAATAATAATAATAATAATAATAGAGTCCCCCTAGGGGTGAGAAAGGCAGTATATAAATACTGTAAATAAATAAATAATTTGACCAGTCATATGACTATTTCAAAATAGAACATGAGTAAAATAATAATTATAATAATAATAAAACTTTCTTTATACCCCGTTCCATCTCCCCCAGGGAAATCGGTGCGGCTTACATGAGGCCATGCCCATCAACACAATAAACACAGTATTACACAAAAACATAAAATGCAAAAACCAATAAAATAGACAACACAACAATATAAAATCAAAACATCAAGCACAAGGAATTCCACTGGGCAGGGTCACTTCAAGAATAAAAATTTAAAATATTTTAAAAACACTGGGAGATAGGCAATGTAAAATTGTCGTGAAGGGGAACTGGGATGAGGAAGAATTTAATTTTAAAAAAGCAAAAAGGTGAGGACAGCAGCTGACCTATTTACAGTCAGAGTCTTATTTTCCTGGCTCTTCTTTCAGGAAATCTGCTCTTTTCTTGATTGCTTTCAGAATAAAAAGGCTTTACTCTGATTATGATGGATCTTTCCTGTCCTTGCAAGAGGGATGTCAGAAGATCATTTCTGTTGAGGGACCTTCAGTTGGATAATATTGGATGTAAATATCTGTATTCCACAGATATAAAAAATTCACTGGCCTAGTTTCCAACAGACCTCACAACCTCTGAGGATGCCTGTCATCGATGTGGGTGAAACGTCAGGAGAGAATGCTTCTGGAACATTTATTTATTTTATTTCGACCATTTTTACCCTGCCCTTCTCAACCCCTGGGGGGACTCAGGGCGGCATACAATTGGCAATAATTCAATGCCGCATCATAAAATACAGAATAACAAATATAACAATTAAACATGAACATTAATAAATAAAGATTAAAACATTATATTTACATTTTGATTAGCTATTGCCCATCTGGTGGTTGTTGAGCTAGCCATCTACTAATGATTACTCCGCTTAACTTATCCAAATCCTCTTCCGTGCCATAGTCAAACGTTATCAATTGTCCTTTAACCTAATTGCCCGAACTCCTGGTCCCACAGCCACCTTTTAACCTTTTTTCCTAAAGGTGAGGAGGGATGACGATGACCTAATTTCCCCGGGGAGCAAATTCCACAGGTGGGGGGCCACCACCAAGAAGGCCCTGTCCCTCGTCCCCGCCAAACGTGTTTGAGACAAAGACGGGGCCAAGACTAGGGCCTCCCCAGACGATCTTAAGCTCCGAGGTGGGATGTAGAAGGAGATATGTTGGACCGGAACCGTATAGGGTTTTATAGGTCAACATGGCCATACATCATGGAAAACACACAGCAACATAGTGATTCCGGCGATGAAAGTCTTCGACAGCACAGTTTCAAAAAGAGCTTTCCTCTGGACAAAGACCTCATTCCATGTTAGATAAGTTAGACAAATTGAAAAACATACACACACATGTACTATTGCCGCACAAGAACCTGGAAAGACTTTGACGTAGGGGGGGAAACCACAGGAATGTCACAAGAGATTCATTTCAAGCTCAAATCTCCCTTTGCATTCACAAAGAAAAACTTAGACGAGAGGGAGGTATTGAAGTGGTTATGAACATCCCTCAGAGCCTCAACGGGCCACAAAGAATCCAGAGAGGAGACCTTAAATGTTTGTGCATTTGAACGTTGAAGGAGTTTTGTGCAGAATGTAGCATTGGAGCCGATGGGGACCGAGATGCCCTACAAGACGGAGGTCATAAGGGTCCACTATTTCAATGATGTAAACATACTTCAGTCTGCTTTGGGTGGAGTTGTACTTCCTTTAGGTGTCAGGTCTGCAGCTTGGAGACTTGCTAAATCCAGCCCTGTCCCTGATGAAATAGATAGCGATGGTAGTATCTAGAAGTTTCTGGCAGCAACCTCCTCTCATTGCAAAACGAACTTGGCCTTTGTAGCTCGTGCCCAGGTCCCATGCAG